GAGAAGATAGAAGCAAGAAAGCACAATATAAAACAGATGACAATATATTCAAGNTTACTACTAACCCCAAGCACTGTCACAACTACCAATGGGATGTGGTCGGTTGTGACACTTTTTCTTTTTCTTTTAAACTTGTGCCTGTCAGTTAATATTTTATTTAGGAATAACATACTGACAAAATTATGGGCGATCATATGAAAAATGGCACATTCGTACCCAGTCTACCCTATTTATGTACTAATATACGTAGTAATAGGTATTACGACCTGACCAATAAGTTCCCACTAACGAAGTAACGTATGAAAATTAAATTTTAATTGCTATAGTTATAAACTCAATTGTAAATTTATCATTAAATTGCGATTAATTAAAAAGAATTTAATATATTGTTGAATGGAATTTTTAACGGAATGGAGAAGATAGAAGCAAGAAAGCACAATATAAAACAGATGACAATATATTCAAGTCAACGGCATATCCAAAGATGCCCACAAATCCAATTGATACCGATTTAAAGTCCAAATAACTTTTAATCGCCGAATTATTCAAATTAGAATCCCGAAAAAAGCCTAAAAGACACGGATAATTGTGCAAGCTCTCGCCACCATAGTATATTGTTATAATTTTTGTACTATTGACAATTAACTCCGTAAATTGTCTGGTAATTAAAATTCCCAAAATCTAGCTCCAAATCTTCATAATGTTTCATAAACATTTATGTTTTAAACATGTTCACTATTAAACATAATTTATTTGTATGTTGTAAGAATATGTTACTTGTATTATGTGAAATGTTCCAGTTAAGGAAAGCTATTTAGATTTTATGCAGCCCCAATTTTTTTTTCGTTAACATGGACCCCTTGTAGTTCAGAGTTGACCTCTAGGGGCCGATACAGGTTACTGTGCGAATCTTCACTAGCCGAAATAGTAAAAACACACAAGATATCTTAATTAGTAGTAGTAATAGGGAGTAAATATCTTAATTTATCGTTATTTTTTTCATGTAGGTATGTATATTTTATCTGCAATTCTTGTCACCCATGGGGGTGGGGGGTTATATAATAAACAGTTTTCAACACAAAAACGGGATAATACATGTAATTTTTGTATTTTTATTTCAATGAATGTAATCTAGATAATTTAATTTATTGTAAAGAGGGTTGGGAAATATAAAATATGAAAATATTGACAATATTTTATTTAGTCAGGGTAGAAATATACCTTCTACATCAAATTTAATTTTAAACAGACGTAACATAATTTTATTGTTTTATAGGGACATTTTAAAGTCGGCTTCGATTAACGTTGAATTTATTATACATTATGTAATATACATATACCCATAGAATGTTCTAAAATGCTGAAATTAACGTTGCACAATGGCTTATTAAATTACATTTCTTTTTTTTTATTTTTGAAAAATCGATATTAAACGATTGTATCTTACAATAATAAAGTTAAAAACGAACAGGAAGGATTAATAAAAGAAAAAATAAACATTTGTATTTACATTTGTATATACAGACTCCTAAAACTAACGTTAAAAGAAGTACATAGACAAATACCTACTCAAAATTAAAAAAAATAATTTAAATTGGAAATTTCGAAATAATATGGACCCTCGGACATCGGAAAATATTCCGATTTAATATACGATACATCGATAACGATTTTTGATACAGCTACAAAACAAGAAAAAAAGAAGATATACAAAAATAAAATTTTAATCGAAAATATTTCTTCTGAACTATTTAGGTAGTGTTTTTGTTAGCATTCGGTCTCATTTGTACAAAATTTATTTTTGTTAGGTTTGTAGGTTTGTTAAGTAACTTATATCTACAATATAACAAAAATTCATCTAAAATAAAATATTTACAGCTGTTATAAATTAAGCTCTTTCTTCTCACAATTAGAAAAATTCACTTAAAATTGTTAATGCATAAAATAAGCTGTCTATACTTTTAACTTAAAATGTAGACCCAATCTACATAAGAAAAAGCATTTTTGGAAATGAAATCCAACATTTCCTGAAAACCCACCTGGCTTTCCAATTATTGTTGTTACTGCATAAAAATTGCTGTACTTTCTTACTATAATTATTATAGTACATAAACACATTACACTTTTTTGTAATTAAAATAATTAAAACCTTAATCTTAACTAATATGCATTTTTCAATCACATTCTGTTCCTACATTACATTTAACTTGGTCCTATAATAATAAAATAGTTGAAGGCAAAGGTGGAACAAATAAATATATACAGTATGCTCCAGGAAAATCTATATGACAATACGTATAAATTTTATTCACTGAGTTATTTAAAATTGTTTAATAAACACAATTATTAATTTAAACAAATAATTTTCGTAAAATTAAAAGGACTTATTTACTAGGTAAAAGGCAATAAAAGCCCTACCAATTGTATTATATAAAGTTGATATACATTTGGATATCTGTCATATAATCATACCAATAAAAAAAATTTGTATTAAAAGTACAAAAACATTTTGGGAAATTTTCCAAAAATTTCATTCCATTTGACGATATCGTTTCGAATATTTCTATTTGATAAAAAAAAATACTCACCAAACATGAGCACTAACAGCTCAATTCTAAGGGGTCACTTTTTTTTATTTTAGTTTCCAATCGGGAAAATTTTGTTTTTTATCAAAATTGAAATTGAAATGACATAATCAGCTCAATTTTTTTTTTCAAATATTAATATTAGTTAATAATATTCTTAAAACTGGCTCTTTAAGCTTTCCAAAATTGTATAATAATGCATCATGATCTTTTAATTAATTTGATTCGGTTTTANGTATAATAATGCATCATGATCATAATTAGAAGATCAGTTACAGTCATTTGAAAAATACTATAACAGGGAAATTGTTTGTAATAATTTTTAATTTAGGTAATTTATTATTTATTATAAGTTTCATGGTTATTGGTGGTTTAGAGAATATTTCTATGTTTTTTAAAACGTAAAAATACACGCTTGTATTAAATTACGTAAATAAAAAGTTACAAACAATTTCTATATAGTAAGAAATATGGTATTTTTCAAATGGCTGTAACTGGTCGTCTAATTATGGTAATGATGCCTTTTTATATAGTTTTGGAAAACTCAAATAGTCAGCTTTAAGAATATTATGGTTATTAACTTTTTAATGCAACTAACATTTTAATTAATGAAATAAAACCCACTTATTGCAAAGACCGCTGTTACAATTTTAGCCTTTCATTTTATTTGAATTTTGAATGTTAACTATAAAATGCCAAAAGAATTTTTGATCAAATTAGCTTCTAAACTATTTAAGATTATTTATAAAATGTACGTAAAACTTAAAAAAATCGTAATTTTTCTCTATTAAGTATGTTTCCTTTAACGACGCTCTTCAAAATCGATTTTTATAGTTATGAAACATTTTAAAATTAGTAAATGACCATTTAGAATCAGATGAAAATTTTCCCAAGCCATGATCTAATAGAATTTTGAAATCTTACAGACGATTACTCCGAACGTGCGTCAGATATTTTCAATGAATTAATGCTTTCACGAAAAGCTTGTTAACCCGGAAAATTCTCATCAGATAAATTCCGACACTGAAAGCCTTCGACCAATAACAAAATTTGTACTGAATCTTGAAACAGTAAATATTCAATTTTTATCACCCTGTGCTTACGAAAGTCTCATAAAATTAGTTTTTGAATGACTGAAGAATTCGTAACAGTGGCGAATAATTAAAAAAAACACAATAAACTAAGTAAGTAATGAATAATACTCTTGAAGATGCCTCAATAAACCGAAATGTACATTAAGCTTTTTCAATAAATTGCGAGTCGATCCAAGTGCCTTTATATCTCTTAATTTGCCATATTGGTTCATCAAGAAGAAGAGGCTTCATTTTTTAATACATTCATGATTTGGACTAACTTCACTCAGACAAGAATCGTACGAATCTGTTTGTTCATACTGTATATATTAGCCTTCCTATTTCGTAAATAACGGTGGTTGCCTTTTTGTTGATAACTTTTCAACCTTTTCATTGAAAATGTACATTTAATAAACGCCAACATTAAATATATAAAAGCTTTTTGCGTGTACGTTTTGCAATCCCATATTGAGATCGAATTAGTATTGATTCTTTTAACATATAAAAGCTATTAAATAGCTGACGGACTTTCATGTCACCGACGAACCCATTGGAATTGCATGAAAACTAATTTAGCATTTAATTATATTCATTATATTCGATTTCCATGCGATACAACAAATACAGGGACCAACACAATGGCCCATTCTAATTGTAATCTTACGCCATATTATACAGACAAGTGTATACATATCGGTTTATGGCTGTATAGTTTTATTAATGTCCTTTATGAATTAATGATTTCACTTCTTATAATACGTAGGCACCCATTAAAACCTGAGTTGCAGGATTCTTTTAAAGTTTAGCTAAACTCAAATAATATCCACATGTACTTACCTAATAATGATATCATTACAAAATCCTTATTTTTAATACAGAAAAATTTTTAACTTCAGCAAACATCTTAGAATTAAATAAAATAATTCGAAGTGGTCTGTATTCTATCGAAACTGCCAGACGCGGATCTTTCTGGATCTCATCAGCGCGTCGCAGACAGCTCCGACAGAACACAGACCAACTTTTACTTACTGTCTTAACAGTGCGTTTTAGAAAATACCACAAATGGCGCGGTAAACGTCATCTGTAGTACGATGCTACATTTTAGGATTACGTATGCTTCAGTAAGGTCCACTTGTATGGATATCTACTCGCTGAAACGAATCCTGACGTAGCTAACCCCAACCTGATAGGCATGTTACCACAAACGTGCCTATCAAGACAGAATATAGACCACTTCGAATTATTTTATTCGATTATGGTAACGTGCCTATCACGTTGAGGTGAGCTACGCCGGGATTCGTTTCAGCGAGTAGATATCCACACAAGTGGACCTTGTTGGAGCATACGTACTCCTAAAATGTAGCATCGTACTACAGATGGTGTTTACCGCGCCATTTGTGGTATTTTCTAAATCTTAGAATTAGTACTAGTACTGTTGTTGTTCTAAATGAACTAGCAACAAAAGTTAATAAAGACCTTACTGCAGAAGGTATTGATGCTTAGTCATTGTTGAAGATCTTATTGAAAAAAGTTTAAAAGCAATCAATCTCAAAAACGTTGTGTAGATAACGGATGTCTAGAACAATATTAGGAACACTATCACATTAAAATCTCGGAAGTTAGATGTTCCTGAAGTAACTGACCAAGAATTAATTCCGAGAGAACCGGTCTCGATTTATATGAATCAACAACAAAAGTTAATGAAGACGTTACTGGAGAAGATGTTGATGCTGGGTCTTTTTTGAAAGTCTGACTGGAATACGTCTAAAACCAGTCAATGTCAGAAACGTTGTGTATACAACCAATGTCCAAAACAATATTAGGAACACTGCTATATTAAAATCTTGGAAGTTAGAGCTTCCAGAAATAACTGACCAAGAATTAATTCAAAGAAAACTGGTCTCGATTTACATGAACCAGCAACAAATGTTAATGAAGATCCTACTGGAGAAGATGATGCTTAGCCTTTGTTGAAAGTCTTATTGGAAAAAGTCAATCTCAAAGACGTTGTACATATAACCGAGCAGAGCAATATTAGGAACACTGCCATACTAAAATATTAGAAAAAGTTAGTGGTTCCAGAAGTAACTGACCAAGAATTAATATCCTAGAAAACGTGTCGATTTAAACGAACCGGCAACAAAAGTTAATTAAGACTTTACTTAGAAGCTGAAAGCCGTCAAAAGATGATCATTATTGAACAAACGAGTGCTCAGTTACACTAAAAGCGGAAAAGAGGCCACCGAGACAGAAGTAATTGTTTAGATTAAAGGAAACTCCATTTTAACCAAAATTTCGATAACCAATACTCAAATAGTTCCGTGCGTTTCAGATAATCGAGAGTCTACAGTGTGTTAAACAATGAGTTTTTCTTTTAATCGGACTCTAAGGACTCTTAGTTTCTATATGAAATTACTAATCCACCGAGAAGTTGCATCTGTTACTATTTTGAGACAGATACCTTGAAAAGTTTGTTAATTGGATCATTAGCGATACTTACTCAGTTCCCCATAATTTTCCGCACTTCTAGCTTCTTCTTTTAGAATCATTAATGAACCTCATACTTCGCAAATGATTTCTTCAAAATTACCTATAAACACCTTTTGTGGAAACCTTAACCTATTATCCTATAAAATTTCAAAAAAGACTAGAGAGAGAAGCATAAATTTAAACTGAAGTAAATAGGTCAGAAACGCGTCGTGCATGAAGAAATACAAAGGTCGCTGCGCGATAAGCAACTGCGCATCGATTTCGGTACCGGTAGTTGTCACACGTAAAAGGTTTGTTTTTTCTACTACGATTCGCGCATGTTCCCATCTCTAGTCTTCTTAGAAATATGTTAAGAAAGCTACCACAATATAAAAGGAACTAATAAATAAGTAAAACTTAATTTCATAAGTTTATGGTCTGCTTTTTAGAATCAACTAAGGGATATTTCCTACTATTATTTTTTTGTAGTTCCACTTCGATTGTTAAATTTTCAACTTCGTTTTCTAAATTTTTAGTCCTTTTAAACATCTGAATATAATCCATTTGCAATTGTCTCTGATACCTTAACACTTTCTCCTTCTCATGAGCCCACGTGAGTCTTTCTTTTTCGAAATGTTTTTCCTTTAAACTTATTTGTTCCATGAGTTTATTGATTTCGGCACAACTGCAATACCGATTGAGATGAAACGTTGTCGGCGTGGCAGAACCCTCATCACAATCATCGTCGAAAATATAATGCCACTTCGCGTTCACTAACTGGCCATCATCGCAGGAAAGAACCGTTATATCAGGCGGTTTTTCTTTTCTTTCCTTAAAATTTTCATTTAGTCTCGAATCATTGCTAACGGATGTTGTAGAACTGCTTCTTCTATTGGTTTTATCGGTTTTATTTCTAGTTAACTCGTTTTCCTTTTTATGCTTTTCTATTTCTGTATCTTTTGCCGCCAAAAGCATTTTCAGTTGCTGATTTTCCGATTTATAGAATATTAGTTCGTTTTGAGTATCTCTGCATTCAGCTTTCAATTGTATAATTTCCTGACCTTTGCAAGTTTGTTCGTTCTGGAACAAAATTTCATCATTTTTATCAAAAAAGTAGTTAATGCGCTAGTTGACAAAACTACTCTTGTATGATAAGCAGTATGAGTTTGGAACAACTAGTAACATAATCTTGGTCTCAAGAAGCTACAGATAAATGTTAGAAACAAGTCGTCTATTATATGCCTAAACTCAGTTGATATACTGTTGTAAGCAGCCTACTTACTCAATTACCAAAATTTATTCTCGGAATTGCTGCATTACTGGTCTTTTCCGGTGAAGAAGATTGTCCGCAACAAGCCTAATTACCTTTCTACCTACCTAACATACCCCTGTGCTACAACTGAACTTTACCTTTTTTAATTAATTTTTTTTTTTGTATTTCTAACCTTCCTATTTCGTATTCGGTTGTAGTTCCTTTCCTTAGTATTTTTTTTCTATTTCTTACTGTTTTTTCTTCCTTCTCTAAGTGTTCTATTTTCTATTTTACTATTTTGTATCCTGCAATCACCGTTCTTTTTTCTAACTTCAATTTTTGATGCATGATCTATCCGTTTTAGTCGTTTGCTTTTTAGTTTTTCACAACGAAAATAACTTTTTAGACAATTTCATTTTTATCGTTACTTTCGCCCTTCTCTACCTACCCCAATCTCAACTCCTCTCTTTTCCAACCCTTGCTTGACACTGGGGCTTGTATAAATAACCGATGCTTTCCTCAATAGCAGCATTTCTAACATTCCACCTACCCGCGGCAAGAAAGAGAGAGATCCTACACACTTTACTCATCTCTGAAATTCCACCCTTCCAGCGGCAAGGAAGAGAGAGATCCTACACACTTTACTAATCTCTGACATTTCACCCACTCGCGTCATGGAAGAGAGAGATCCTACACACTTTACTCATCTCTGAAATTCCACCCACCCGCGGCAATGAAGAGAGAGATCCTACACACTTTACTCATCTCTGACATTCCACCAACCGGCGACAAGGAAGAGAAAGATCCTACACCCTTTACTCATCTCTGACATTCCATTCACCCGCGGCAAGGAATAGAGAGAGATCCGACACAGTTCACTAATCTCTGACATTCCACCCACCCGCGGCAAGAAAGAGAGAGATCCTACACACTTTACGCATCTCTGACAGTCCATTCAACCGCTGCAAGGAAGAGAGAGAGATCCGACACAGTTCACTCATCTCTGACATTTCACCCAGCTGCGGCAAGGAAGAGAAAGATCCTACACACTTTACTAATCTCTGACATTCCACCCAGCCGCGGCAAGGAAGAGAGAGATCCTACACATTTTACTAATCTCTGACAATCTACCCACCCGTCGCAAGGAAGAGAGAATTACTACAAACCTTACTCAACTCCAATATTCCACACACCCGCGGCAAGGAAGAGGGAGTCTTGAGTAAAGTAGCCGGCTTAATTCTTTTTTATATATTTTATTTGTGCACCTAATACTTCCTTCTTCTACATATTTTTTTCTTTGTATATATTTTAATCTTATTTCTGTTTCCTGTATATATTTTTAGTGTGTAAGACTAAACATTTTCTATTAATACAATAAACAAATACCGGTGCACGTAATCCTTCACAATACGAAGCCCACTATTGTCATGCTTCCAGAACATTCTCATGCCTTTGTTAAATTATTATATCATTTATTTGTTGTAGCTTTTGTAGTCCTAATACCTACCCACTACAAAATAAATCATTCAACCCAATGAGAACACACTTCCTTTATTAGACGTAATACCCACTTATACCAAATAAGGTTAACTCTGATTACTTAATTGTTTTATTCATTCACTTTTAATAGCCTAATGATTAGTTATAAAATAGAAAATATGTTTCAAAGAGATACAAACACTAAAAGGCGAAGAATTCTGTTTTATTTACCTGGTAATCTTTTAACTGACTCTTCAGAAGCGACAGTTCTCCTGTTTTCTGACATAAATTCCATTCTGTTTCATCCAGTCTTTCCCTTAATAGCGCCATTTCTTTTCTTAACTTATTATTTTCACAATTAACTTTTTGAATTTCTTCGTTAAACTTTTTCTTATCTTGTTGCAGTTGATAAGACTGCATCATAAGCGTTTGCTCCAATTTCATTACTTTTTGAGCGCTTGCGCGAAGTCTCGTCTCCTGAACGTTTTTTAACTTTCTCAGTTCTCTTTCCCAAATTTTTTCTTTTTCTTGGTAAACCCTAAAGATAACTTGTTCGTTATGTTCCATTGTCTGTCTTAAGTAAGCCAGTTCCGAATCTCGATCCCTTAACGCTGCTTCTAACTCCGATATTCCAGAATCAGAAGGAGAAGGTGTCAAATCTAAGAAACTTTCGCAATGTGGCATTGATCTGTAAAAAATTTACATTTTTAACTGATGAAAATAATTTCACAGTTTCTTGGAGAAAAATAAAATAGTGTTATTTATATATTTTTACAGGCTTACATAGGTGCCCAATTAATTAAATTACGAATCCCCGATATGCACTTTTCCTTATGGAAGGCAAAAGTAAAAAGTTAATAAATTTAAGTATCGTTTGTACTATTTTAGCCTTAGCTTCGACTCACTTCAAACTGCAACCAACCTCCAACGAAGTCTGAATTTATTTATTTCATTTTTGAAGTGAAACTTCTTTATCGACGGTAGGAAGGAAATTTACTAGGGTTTAAAACCGAAAAGTGTAAAGTTAGGCCGTCACGCGTCACGCGCCATATGCTCCCCCTAGTGGATATGTCTTAAAGGAGTCATTTTAATAGGCTTCGAAGCTAACTTGTTTGATGAAATCGTAAACATTTTTAACAAAACTAAAAAAATATTTCGCATTCGTCCGTTGGAAATAAAGTTGTATGTTTCTAATGTTTAGTAATTAGTTAATGCAATAATTTAGTTAAAGAATACTACTATAATATAAAATCTAAAGAAGTTTCACTTCATGCGCGTGTACACTAACACACACTAGCCCCTTTTTTTTGTTTATTAGTTTACTAGGCATTGACAGTTACCCTTGTAATTTTTTTAGAGAATAAGGCCCAGGTAATTTAAATATTTAAATGTAATAAATTTGTATTTATTAGAAACCTTGATATTATAAGTCATGTATACAGAAATATGTTATTCTCGCGCTTTAAAGTGACACAAACGCAATAAACCCTTGTCGACGATGTCTTTATGGCATTATGATTTTAATGTACGTAGATTCTCCCACCAGTCTGAGCAGATTGAATAATAATCATGAAGGTATACCTTAATTTAATTAGTGTTAAATAGGATAACAATACATGAATGAATTTCTGTACGAGGCCGTTCCAATATTAAGTAACTTAATTTGGGAGGGGGAATAGGGTCTTGCAAAATGTTAAAAGGGCAATGCGAGACATTTTCAGGTATACATGATCGCATGAGAATTTCTTACCGTTCAGAGAGGGGGTAATGTTGAAGTACGTTATATGAAGTAATAAGGGCCAAAAATTTTCATAAAATGCGTTACGTAATACTCTCAACACTTTCCAATTTCGCCCCTAAACCAAACAACCGTTTCAGAAGGCCCTTCCTTTTTTTAGCGAAGTACCAACCCAACTCTTTCGAGGTGAGCCACCGATTTCCATTTCATCCCCCTTTCCGCCCAACGCTTCCTTTCCTACATTCAATCCCCTTCCCGCCCCAACCTCTTCCCATTGAACCTTCCTTGGGATGTATAACCTCCAGGTCGATATCCTTACTCGAGGAAGGATTTTAGTCTGTAGGCGCTTCCGCGAATCCGACACTACCCCCTTCAGGGGGTGTTTTTTAAAGATTTCCCCTCCTCGAGGAAAAACTAAATAACAAAAAAAACAAAAACAAATCATAGGCGCAGTATTATCACTGGCCACTATAGGCACTTACTACGTATATTCCTTCTCCAGTGCCGGTGGTCGTGTCACTTTTATCGCTTTTGTGCCATGTTAAAGTGCGAGTACTATACTTAACATACATACACTAAAATGACTAGCATGTCCTAGAACTTCTTACAATTGCTAACTGGTTCGCCAACCAAATTAATGACTTATTTATATTTACTATTAACGATTAGTAATTGAAAATGAATTTAACGATAATGAAATTACAAACGGCAAACGATTTATTTATTCTTATGTGTACGTCAATGTGCAGGATCATTTATTTTATAGGCAGATTATACTCACGCGACTGTGCTTCCTATAGTTGAAACAGGCGATTTCCTAACGCTATCCATACTATCACAGTTAATTAATTTTTGTGGTATTGAATTAAACGAACTCATTATCGAATCGGGAGAAGTCTGACACATTGTTCGTGTCTTACTTCTTCTATCGAGACTATAATTAAGGCTATCTAAACGAGGGTAGATCTCTTTCAAATCTGAAACAGAAATGCGCTTTCAAAATAATCCCTGTTGTTGTATAACGTATTTGATACGATTAGAAAAAATCAAATAACTGCACTTTTATATTAAAATCATTATAAAGGTATTAAACCATATCTTTATTTCTAAAACTTTTCGTGTAGCGGTCTCCTGAATGGTCTCCAAAAATTGTAAAAATAAAAACAAAATGTATAAGTCACAAAATAAATAAATTAATAGTCACCCAGTGGCAGAGAACTACATTATGTATGACATAAGTGTGTTAGGTACCGTATAATACATTTCTATGTTTGTGATGTTGGTAGACGAACAGTATGCACAAACTTGGGCTTAGGCAGAAGACCCTCTTTGACCTCTATCCTACAATCGTAGCAATGGGTGAGGCGTGGCAGTGAAAAGAAAGATGAAACGGCAGAAGAAAAGTATAAGATTATTTGTGGAATATTTTTCCCAAACATTTGTCTAAATCACTAAATAATCCAAGGAAAGCACGAGCGGCACCCACCGCAGCAAGGCTTATCCATATGCTAAACCAGCACAGCTGTGCCAGGATGGAATAAAGGGCTCCTTGGGGCCTCCCATACGTCAGACAGATTGATCGCAGAAAGCCACCGTGGTGTTTGAGGGTTAACGAGGCGATAACCCCCATATTAAGGCCTATCCAAACCCTTCGCTGCACAACCTCCTAACCCCTATTAAACAATTACCCCTTCAAGTCCGACACCAATTAGCGGGACAGCCAGCCCGCGAGGTACCAGTACAGGCACTCCGATGGTCATCAACTACTCCAAACCACCGTCGCTATAGGATGTCGCCCAACCGTATACGCGCTATCTCCGGATACTCTTCAGCCTCCTGGCTAGCCCAAGCTACAATGTTTAACAGCCCGAAATGTACAACCCCTTTAGTGGGTCAAGCAGCATACCCGATCCGCGTATAGCTGCTCTCTCCTACACGCTTCATGTCGTAACCCCTCTCCTTATAGGTCAGGTTCTCTTCAAATCTCTGTAACCCCGCCTGATGCACTCTAATATGTGAGGACACTTACTTCGCCTTGAACAAAGGCGTGGAAAGTATCATCCAGGGAGAGCATCATCCAGAGGAACATTGGCTTTCCTCTCGGGGCATCCGGACCTTTACCCTTGTCCATAGATTACGGCCTACCTGCACTTTGCTTCCAGATTCCTAAGGGTTATTTAGCTTCGTCATAACGTGCGTATAAGTATTGATTCCCCTACCACCGACGCGACAAGATGAGGAGCTTCCGGGGTCCAAGGAAAGCACAGAAAAACTTGCCAGGACTTCTTAAATGCTAAGCTGTTACCTAGATCTCCAGACCACGTCGCTCGATCGAATTTTAGATTTAAATAATCGGTTGTCTGCAAAGTCTGTTTACTGACGATAGTTGAACGTGACAACGTCATACAAAAATACTGATTAAATGGTTTCATTTATCAAAAGAAAATTTTAATTTTATTTGTTTGATAGATACGTATTTTGTATGGATATAGAGAAGGAGGTAAATGGAAATATATTATTGTATAGCAGCTGTCCACGCGGACGCATCGCTCACTCAAGTAGGAGAGAGACAGATGTCGAACGCTGCCGAACGCGGAGGCCGATTGTGCCTCTTTGTCGCTCGTTCCGCGCTCTCGCTTGCACTTCAAGCCTTAAATGGAACGCCTCAGAACGAGGTAACGCCGCACGAGTCATGTTTTTTTGTGCGTGCAGCCGGCTCCATCGAATTATAAGACGTTGTCACGTCAAAAACCTTTGAGGGCAAGGCGGAAGGAATTGTGGGAATGAATACGTACTAACTGTTTTGAGATAGATGACATGGGCGAAATGAAGATAGAAGTGAAAGATTATCTATGGAATATTAGTGTATTACTTTGCATAAGTGACCCACGAAAACCACAGAAAAACATGGACCAAGGCAGACGGATCTGGAATCGAACCGGTATCCCCGCCCTTCAAATGCCTTAGCATTCCATTCCTTAGCACAGTCTAAACCTCAGGTCATGGGGAATGCCAAGAATTTAAAGAAATAAGTAGAAATCGGCAACACACAACTTTAGAAAAAGTAATTAAGGGAAACCCAACTATTGGTACCACTAGAGACTAACTAACCCTTTGTGACACATTAAAAAATATATATTTTCTCTTTTCTTTTGGATGCGTTACCAAAGTATTAATTACATTGATAAGATGCTTCTGACACAATAGTGCCAAATTAAATTTTCTTCCCGAACCACTCTAATACCGATATAATGAATTTACAAAAAATTGCAGTTATGAAAATTAATGCATACAAATGTTCATTTACCAGGTTTTGAAAGTACTGGTGTTGATCCATAATGTTCTCTGNAAAATTTATATAGAACTATCTGTGAAGAATAGATCATCAAAATTAATTCATAATTGGCAGAGTAATCACGTAACAAGCATACAAAAAGCAGTTGAATTGAGAATCTACTCCTTTTGTGAAGTAAGTGAAGTAGGTATAGATATTTCTTTGATTGATATTTAACAAAATCCGTATCATTGAACTTACTAATCACTGTTTGCATCTTTAAAGGAGTGAAACCAATCGAACACAAAAAATATAGCAGTTCCTAAAGTTGATTGATAACTCATGAATTAAAGGAATAAAGTTTAATATTTTTAAATGTGTCCGTTACAAAGAAACTGCCTTTGACTGTATTCCAAACTGGACTTATAATAAATACAAAAAGTACACCTTTTCACTTTCATTTTCGATTTTGTAATAGGCAATTGTAATAATAAAATTACAAGTGTATCTGCTGATGCATCTCTATTATTGTATAGACCATTTCATATCTTCAGATCAAACGATTTCACAATCGAATAACTCTTTTGAATATCTCATTCAAGTTCTTTTACTGACAAATTAAGTTCGATTAGTAATAATGTACTGCGATAGTGATAATATCATTGACCACTCAATTGGATGATTTGAATTATTGTTCTCAAATGGTATAGGATATGGTAGAGTACACAAAGATTTCGATAAGGAGTGCTAACCCCGATAAGAGTACAGGAGGCTGTTTCAGATTTTCTAAATATCAATATTCCTGGACGTATGTTTAAAAACCCAAGTTCCAAATCCGACAGTTGCATCCCAGTAAACTTCTTTCAGGTATAGTTCACAGAATCAAATTCACGCACGAAGGGTTCCCTACTAATTTGGTAAAACATGGCTTCTTGCCAAATTTGTTGATTCTACCTAAACGAGAAAAATGTGACATAAACAGCAGTAAATTTTGATTCCGTTGACTTAAAAGTTTTATTCCTTTACTGTTCCATTCCTGAGACAAAGGATCATGACAGAGAAACACACGAACAACGGAGTGATTCTGTAAGGCAAAGGTAGGCAAGGTATTTTAGAAGGGTTCCGGATGTTCATGAAAATTTTTATCGAGGTCCAGAAAAAGCATATTCCTTCTTCAAAAAAAAAAAAGTAAGGGTGACGCTCACAGCTCGGATAAACTTTGTTATTTACAAAAAAATATTTTTTAAATAATTTAGTAGTTATTCACTTTCAAAAAATTTTTGGCAGTCCAGTTTTTGACCTTCCGCGGTCAGGACCTGGACCGTGATCCGCTAGTTGCTAGCCGTTGCTGTAAGGGTTCTTTTTTTTTCATTTTAAAATACGGTACCTTAAAAAAGGTAGTCTAAATAAGATATCAAGAGAATCAACTTATTAATAATTGAAAAATCCTCAGTAAAATTAACGTAAATGATTAAATATTAGTCAAGTATACACATTATCATCGCTTTATTTTAATCTAAACATATTGGGGCAAAAGACTTACTCCTATCCGAAAGAAAGGTATTAACCTTTACCAATTAGTTAGTTAGAGCTAAAAATAAATGAAAGCTAATATTAACAGGATTATGAGATCAAAATAAATAAAAATTAAACAAAAATATAGAATACAAGTAGGATAAGAGTTAACATAAATGCTCTTTATTTCATAGTTTATAAACTAGTTAC